GGGGGGGCAGCGCCGCGCGCGCGCACCGCGCCTGCGCCAACGGCCCGCGCCTTCGCATCCAAACACCGCCGCGCGGGTCCCGCCCCCGCCGCGCGCCGCGCCCGCTCATTGGCCGGCGGAGGGGGGAGGGGAGGGGCGAGCCACCGCCCCGCCCCGCCTGCGCGCAGGCGCACGGCGCGCGCTCCTACCATGCACCGCGCGCGGGGCGGGGGGGGCCGGGAGACAGAGCGGGTGGGGGGAGACGGGAGGGCACACAGCGAGTGAGGGAGGGGTCACCCACACACCGCGGTACTGCGGGCTGGCACCGCACACCGTGTTACTGAGGAGTGTCACCGCCACACTGCGTCAGTGAGGGGTTTCACCGCACACACTGCTCAGTGCAGGCTGTACTGCACACCCGGGTCACCGACGCTGCACAAGGGTTTGAGATCTCCCTGAGAGAAACAAACCCCGTGACCGGAGAACGGCGGTAGGAGACCATTGGATAAAACCCAAGAGACGAATCCAGGTTCTGTTCTGCATTCACACAACCAGCCTTCGGTTCTTCAGACACAGCTTCAGAGCATCGCGGAGAAAAAGCCATGTCAAAACAAGGCACAACATAACAAAGATACGCTTTTTATTGAAGCACTTTTGTTTGAGTCAAAGCTTTTAAGTGGCTATCCCAGTAACTGGGAGTGAATCAATTAATTTCAGTTTTCAAAGTATAAACAGCAACACCTTATGAAGATACAGCAGGAGCTGCCACTGGTAAAGTTCCCACCAAGCAGAGAGAATGCTCCCAAAAACAAGGTTTGTGATCAATAAAACAGGCTGCGCTTTATTAAAAGAGATTTATTGGCTTTGCCTGTTTTGATTTTGTCCTCAGTTGGCTTGTTAATTACTTGGATAATTTCCACCACTGGACTCCATATTTTATCTACCAATATTGCAAGTTACAGCAAAAAACACCCTCTCAGCCTGGATCCCTGACAGCTGCTTCTCTATCCTACAATAATGTACATTTTGTTACTGTTGTGGAGTTTCAGAAATTTTCCTTACGAATGTAACATTGCCACCTGATTTGAGAAGCTGCACACAGATCAGAAACACTGTGAAGCAGAGGAGCTGACAGGGTAGTTCCAAAATCAAAAAGCTTTTATTCTTTCAGAACACAAAAGACTTTGAGAACATGCTACCAGCAAACACTAGTGAAAGAGAGATGATACCATAGCTGATATCAGGATCCCAAGAATTTTCCAAACCAGCCTCCCTTATATTCATGAGGCTTTACCTGGAACACTAAGAAGAACTGTGCAGTGTTGGTCTCATTCACAACTGAAGCAGACAGGAAGCAGGGAAAACAAATCCTCATTTTGCAGTGTAACTTCATGCAGGATCTTGTGCATGGCATTTTTCTTCCCTCCTTGTGTGAGAGAGCCTGAAAGGAGGCAGCATTAAAGAAAAAAAAAAATCAAAAAGCCCTGGAAAGCTTTTATCTTTATTTCCCTTTCCTCTAAATACAACAAAGAAATTATACTGCCTGTTTGTGTAACGTTAGGGACATTTAGATAAGCCAGCAGTTGTTTTGTAAACTCCCGCAGCTACACTGGTAGAATTAGTCTCCTCTGCAGACACCAACATGAGCCCGATATCCCAACAACGTACAGATGTAAAATTTTAAATGTTGGCCAACTACAGCAGTGTAAATCCCACACTGCACTGAGACAGCCTGCTCACATAGAAGATAATTACAGGTGTACTAGAACTAGATCAGAAACCGTTTATACAACTAAGTGATAGTAACTTGCACACCACAAATAATTTCATGTAACACTACGCTGCAGATCCCTTTATATTAACCCTGTACACCAAACACACCTCATCTCACTACAGCTTAAATGCAGGCAGTAAGAACTAAACCTTCATTCTGATGCCTATCAGCACTGTCCTACAGCGCAACCAATGAAAAAAATATTACTAAATAACATGGAGGAAATAATTTTCTCAGAGACAAAATATAACAAATAGGACAGGAATTTGGGTGGCACACCTTGTTAAACGGTCTCATCTCATCACCATATCCAGATACCATTTCAAAAAAATTCAAAGGAGTGAAAGAAATTAACCACCAATATAGTGCCTCGTTCCTTGGAAAAAGTTTCATTGAAAAATAGATCCTACTTGTATTTCAATTTACAGACTCTAAAAATAAATTTTAAAAGTACTACTAGGGATTCTGCAGGACTTCCAGGGAAAAAAGAAACAGGGGAGAACTTGAGAACAGGGCTCACGTGCACGTGCATTTTTATCACCTGTGTGCAGATCTGTGGAAGCAGAAGCTCAGAAAGGATGATCAAGATATGAAGACAAATTCAGACTGAAATAAAGAAGGAGGATATCACTGAATCATTCAAAAGCAATGGCAGGTTGAAACAAGGCGGCACCGGACAATCAGGAGACAACTCAGGTTCAGAATAGTCTGTGCCCTGTGTGAAATATATGAAAAACAGCAATTATAAGCACTGTGCACATAATGAAAAGATTTAATAAACATGTGGGAAGTAACGTAAAGTTTTAGAAAGAAAGGTTCAAAAGGTACTTCACTGCTCAGGTGCTTACCCTGCAACATTAGATGCATCATTATTCAAAATTCAGGCAACTTTTGGACCAGAACCTAGACCATATATTCCTTCTGAACCATGAGTACTGAAATGCTGAACAACAGCTTGTTTTGTTTGTAAGACAAGAGAATTAGAGGAAATTGATTCCCTGTAAAATTATACAAGAGTAGAACATGGTCCTGAGCAGGGGGTGGTGCATGTTACATCCTTGGCTTGTTTGTGATTTTTTTAAAGACCTTGAGAATAATTTCAGTTTTAAAGCTTAGCACTGAAACTTAACTTGCTGCTGGAAGATGCATGTTTAATCCTTACACAGCATTACTTTCACATATTGAGGCCGACATCACGGGTAGTCAAAGAATATGTTTAATAAAAAATAATTAAACTTCCATTTGCTCTATAGAACATCATAGAAAGTAATTCAATAAATTACAAATGACTTTTTAAGACGCTCGTTCAACTACAGAAAGCAAATTCAGACTACACAGAACACAACTGGCAAATATTGCAAATGTCCAAAAAAAACCTGGACTAAGACTTGGATCATGAAGCCTGAAACAAGGGATAGAAATACAAGGCAATAACAGCTAAGGTTTTTTTTTTTAGTAACTACCAACACACACTTTATCATCACCTTGGATATCCTTTTAATTTTAACTTCAGTATTAGTGTAATTCTACTGAGGTTTCCTTATAACCCTTAACTTTATACAACCGTATTTGCATATAGTTTAGCTGATAGTGGGACATTTTTTCCCCTTCTGGTTCAAACTGATGAAAAATAAACCAAATATATTATGTTCAAGTCTACACCAGCCTTCATTACTTGAAACTGTAATTGCCTTATTACATAGAAAGAATCACTAGAATGGTAACCAAACTCACTTGACCATAATAGGAAAATACTTTATTTCATAAATCTGATATAAATTAGGTTTTAGCCACAAGATTTAGGACTTGTTTTGTGGGGGAAGGGTGGGAAGTGATGGCATTGTTGACATACTCCATCAGCAAATGAAGTTAATAACTGCTTGTAAAACTTTGGCTATTTCATAGATGCATCCTAGTTAAATAAAAGTGCTATATTACAAAGGGCAAAATATTAAATATGAAATACTTTTTTTTTTTTTTTTAATGCTGAAGAATTGCTACCCCCTTCTCTTGGCAGTTTTTGATTTTCACTATTGCTAAGACACTGCATGAAGGGCCAAAAATCAGAATACTATCTGGGAAAATACGTAACCAGCACAATCCAAATGGTACTTGTGTAATTACATCTAATACTGCTTCTAATCATGGGGCTAGTTATTTTGCACATAGAAACTTATATTTCATTGGTAAAGTTCTTGATAAAAAACAACACAGTTGTTTTACTGTACAAGCAAGCAACAGAACTATATCAAAATATACAGTTTTTGTTTTTTACTTTTTAAATTTATCCCTTTGTAAAGCTTTTTCCATGGACTTTCACTAGTACCTGTATCTATTTTCTCTTAACACTTGCCTATTCTTGGACCACAAATGATGTAATCAAGGTCAACTGAAGTCTCAGTCAGTTCAGAAGTTCTGTAAATGTGAATCTGGGCCTCGACCGTGTCAGAGTAATAGCAGCTTAAGAAGAAGGAGGAATCATATCACACATCAAATCTTAGACAGATTTTATATAGTAAAGGGTTCTAAGGATTTGGACTTAAACAGATGCCTTATGCCCTGTTACTGTGGTTTCTAGGAATAATTTGTCTTCCTTACTATTCAAAGTGCTTTTTCCTTAGTGGGTAACTCAGCATAATATAGGAAGTGAGATCCAAATAATGATTTTGGATAATATTTAATA